CTGACCAGCTGACAGGTCAGAAGAGTCACACTCCCGTGGGACACCCCTGGAGACAACAATCCTGACCAGCTGACAGGTCAGAAGAGTCACACTCCCGTGGGACACCCCTGGAGTCAACAATCCTGACCAGCTGACAGGTCAGAAGAGTCACACTCCAGTGGGACACCCCTGGAGACAACAATCCTGACGCCGAGTACAAGGGCGGTGGCAGACAGAAGCATGGCAGCCTGTGATTCAGCATCAACGGAGATGCTGTCAGAGGTTGGGGATCCCGTGGAAGCCTGGGGTGTGCTCTGGGCAGACGGAAGAGTGTCCTGCACTCTGCAGAGAGGGCCTGCTGCCTGGATGGCTGGCTGGAGGAAAGTGCGGGAGGAAGTAGGATGGGGGTGCATTTGAGGTACAAGGGTGCAGGAAATGTGTAGGGAAGGTGCAGGGATTTCAAAGGGTTAGGGGTGTATAGGAAGCACGGGGGGGGGTGTTCAGGGGGTATAGGGAGAGCGTAGTGGGATGCAGGGAGAGTGCTCAAAGATCCAGGGAAAGTGTGGCAGATTCAGCCACACACAAACTGGGAAGCATGAGACAGAGGTATATTTGCGCATGCCAAGAAGTCTGGATTTCATTTTAAGGATGACTGGGATACTGCAATTTTCCAATGAAGGAAGTGGTCAGATTTCTATTAGAAAGTTCCTTCAGTAAGGACTAGAGCGAGGACAATAATTAGGGGGTGACTGTAATATTCGGGAAAGACGTGATGAGGTCCTGCATGAATATTTATGGGTACGTCTGGGATGCCAGGCAATTGCTAGGCACTGGTCAGTTCTGACCAAATCAGAACAGGTTCATGCCCTTCCTTGGAGGCTGCCTTGGTTATTTAGAAGGGGAATCACTAGGATTTTGTGAGTTGGGGGAAATGGCAGAACCTTCCAGGTTTCCAGGTCAGTGCACAGGGGGCGGAGGAAGAGGTGCCTGGGGATATGTCCTGGCCAAGGTGAGGCAGCCGGTGTTCAGAGAGTGGAGACACTCTGGAGACAGGGAAACACGTCTTGGAAAGGAACATGGAGATGGCTGAGTACAGTTGTCTGTGTTAGGGGCTCTGGGGACCTGGGGATCTGAAGGGACATTCTGTGGGATGGCCTCAGCTAATCTGAGGAAAAGGCAGGGAGATTGTTTGCTGAGTGTACAAAGAGAAGCTACGTGATTAAATGGGACTATCCACATGAAACGAATTGGCGAGTGGCAGGTGTCCAACAGAAGTTAGTTTATTACATAATGACATTTAAAAAAAAAGATTTGTTTATTTATGCATACAGAACTGGGGTGTAGGCCAGAGGTGCAGGGGCGGTGAGAAGATTCACCAGAGACAGACGAGCAGAACAGGCAGAGAGATGAAGTACACTTTTGAGGGGAGCAGTGGGCAAGACAGGAGATGTCTGATGCACTATGTGGGTCAGCTCCCTGGCTGGGGATTGAACTCGTGCTGCAGTGGCTATGGCTAGCTTGCAGTGCTGTGCTAGTTGTGCCACCAGGTATAATATGCCTGCATAATGACATTTTATTGCTCAAACATTCCTGATTTCCACTTGGAAATACAGCTTACTGCTTATGATACCTATCTAATAAAACAGTTTCACAGAAAACTAGGAACTCAGTAAATCCACAGAAGACTTATGTCATTCATTAAATGACTTTTTCATTTGGTAAACATCCCAGATGCAGAAATCAAAATTTTAACTTCTTTTTTAAAAAAGATTTTATTTATTTATCCAGAACTGGGGTACAGGCCAGAGGTGCAGAGGGTGAGAGGATTCACCAGAGACCGAGTGGGGAGCAGAACAGGCAGATCAATTGAAATACACTGCTGAGGGGAGCACGGGGAGGGTCAAGAGAGGTCTGCCGTGCCATGTGGATCACTCCACATGTGGGGGTTGAACTTGTGCTGTGGTGGCTGCAATTGCTTCAGTGTTGTGCTTTAACCCATTGTGCCACCAGGGAGGACCCAAAATTTTAACTATTTTGAATGGAAACATTTCATTCACTTAGTTTGAAGGTATTGAACACAGCCTAAATATCCGTTTTTGAATGATGAGGTAATAGTTTGATGTCTAATTTGCCCTTTTTTTAGGTTCTTAACTGACCCTCAGCTTTCTGCTGATGGCATGCCAGTTCCAAAAGCTCAGTGTCTGACCCACCAGCTCTCATGTCTGGGGAGGGCCAGGACACAAAACCCACTAAATACAAACCAGCCAGCTGGCTAGAGAGAGGCAGCATGGAGGCTGGGCTAGGCCTGGTCTTTCTCAAAGGACCCTCCTGCTTAACAACACTTTATAGGGGGAGGTGTGGAGTTGTTCTGGAGCAAAAAGCTTGGTGGTAGTTTATTCCAATAATTTTTGCACTAAGATGATAGAGATGGGGGTGATCATTACCACCCCACCCTCCCACCCTTTTTTAAGCCAAGAAGCTGAATTGAGAAAAGTTAAATGATTCAAATTCTTATAGCAGAGCTGGGGGTGGAACTCAGGCTCACTTGGAAGTTCTACCACCCACTGTGGTGAACGTGAACACCAGTCTTGTGGGAATCTGGGTTAAATGATATATAAGAACCCCAATTTTTTATGTGTGAAGAGGATGTAAAATTGACCTTATCACAATGATAATTGGCTATTATCACGATGATCAAATAATTTGTTTCCAATGCCCCCCACTCCTCCCAGCCAAATATCATAAAGAACACTCTTCAGAGTTAAGCCATTTGGGTTTATACACATTACACAGAGGACGATGCATACCATGAAAACCTAGACGTGTCTCCATAAGATATGAAAGGATGAGGGACTTTGCCAGCTAATTCGGGGGGGTGGTCTGTGCTGTGCCTTAGGTGAGGTCGGAAAACTGGGTGATTCTGTGGATATACATCCTCACAGGCAGATGAAGGGTGGTGAGAGTGGCCTTGTCAGCTCCCAGCCAGGATGGCTGATCTTCAGCCACATGGACAATTGCAGGTTTTGTCTGTGTTCAGACATGATCAGAATGGCTTGTTGGCTTGTTCTTGTGTTCCATCCTGGTCACAGAGGGGCCTTGTCTGTTGTCAATGTTCTGTGAAGTAGCTAGTGCTCAGTAAGAGATACTGAGACCCAGGGTGGTGTCAGCAGCTCTCCCTTGGACCAGTCCAGCGGTGTTGGGTGTATTCATCCAGCCACCAGCAGTGGACCTTTGTCACAGGGAGGTAGGCTGGGGTGTTCTAGTGCGGAAGCATTGGAGGTATTTGAAAGACACATGCCCTTTTAGGCCACAGAGACCTATTTCTTCCCAGTTCAGGCATTCCATGTGGTCATTTCCTTGGGAGTCAGGGATGTTCCAGTCTGAGGAAAATTTCAGATACAGCAAAGAGGGAGTCCATCCCACTCTCCACCCTTGTCTCTTTCTGTACATATGTAGTGATCATCTACTGTGCACCAGAACTGGCTAGATATTGTGGCACTCACCACCTCATGGGGAGCAATCAGTAAAAGAGATCAACCGGCTAGGGAGCAGCACTGCAAACTGGCCAAAGCACTTTAGTGTGAGTTTGATCCCTGGACCAGGAGGTGATCCACATAGCAGGGCAGACCGCTCCTGACCCACCTGTCCGCTGCTCCCCTCAGCAGTGTACTTCCTCCATCTGCCTGTTCTGCTCCCCACTCTGTCTCTTCTGAATCCTCTCAATTCCCCTGCACCTCTCGCCTGTACCCCAATTCTGTATGAATAAATAAATCTTAAAAAAAGAAAAAGAAAAAGAAAATCAGTGCCAAGCAAGGGCCATTGACCTTATCCCATTCCACGGATTTTTTAATTGACTCAAGTAAGATACTACTTGGGGCCTTGAGATTTAAACAATTCCCTGACGATTTAATGTGCAGTAGTTTGGGAGACACAGGCTTAATCCACCACCCTTACAGTGGGGACCCTCAGGGCACACACTTGTAGTTAGCTGTGAAATCTGGCAGAGAATACCAGGAAGTTTACAGATTCTAAGAGTCAGGAAAGGGGGGAGGTGTTTCGTGGTGGTCCTCCCCGCCCGCCGCCCCCCTCGGCGCCCAATCCTCAGATACAAGAGTATCCAGTCTTAAGTCAGGTGTCATAAACTCTCATAAGCCGTCTCCTCCAAATGGCGTGGAGTCTTCTCAGCAGCCTCGCTGGTGTCCCGAAACCGAGGTCCCCTGCGGAGAGGGAGCTGACCAGCAGCCACGTGCAGCACGGTGCACAGCAAGCGCGCGCTAGTGTGTTCCTCGGTGCGTGTGCGAGTTTGCACGCCAGTGCGCTCACGTGGGCGAGTGTGCAGCCTGTGTGCACGCGCAGGGCCGCCGGTAAGCCGCGTTTCCGTTAGGGGAGTCCTGGACGCCACCTCGCCGCGGCAGACTCGCGCCCGGGTCTCCTCCCTTCCCCCGTCCCCTCCCCGGTGGCTCCGACCGACCCCTCCCGCCCAGCCCCTCCCCCGAGGTTCTCCCTCGCCTCCTCCCTCCCTCCCGCTCGGTGCGTGGCCGCCTCCGGGTGCTCCGCGCCGCGCTCCGCACACGATTTCCTCCCGCGGCCGCCTGGGCGCCGGCGAGCGCAGGGCCCCCTCGCAGCCACGGGGAGACGATGAGCCACGGCGCCGAGGAAGCGGAGAGCAGGTGAGCAGGTCGGGGCGACGGGGGGGAGGAGGAGGGGTCTGCTGGGTCGGCGGCCGGGCCCGCCGTGGCCGCGGGCTGGAGAGGCTCTGCCCACCCGCACCTCCACCCCGGACTCTGCCCGCGCCAGTTTGGACGGCGGGGGCGTCACTCCCGCTGGGTTCCCCCTTCAGGCCGCACAAACAAAGCACTTTCTGCTGCGGCGCCCGCCCGCGTGCGACGCGGAGCGCTGGGCGGCGTTGCTGGGGC